ATAAGTAAGAATTTACTAAAGGCTTTTATGTAGTGTAGTGTTATTAACCGTATTTCGAAATAGCTAAAGTCGACCAATGGTCTATATCGATAGTAAGGAGATGAGAACGACCTTATGGTCCCAACCACGATTCATTGTTTAGAACAAGCATCGGAAAACGGCGAAGCGGATAGCTTAAATGTGCGTACAAAAAAAAAAAAAAGGATTGGGTTCACTTAACACTTCTTCACAAATTCTTCTTTATAAATCTACGGAGACACGGAAGACGGTACTCCAAATAGAGTATGAGGTGGATCACAAAAAAACCTGAAATCTTAAAGCATTGCGGTGATACCAAGATTTTGATGACTTCTCGTTTAATATAACGATACCTCTAGTCTTTGGGCAACGCCCGAATCGATTTCCACGCAGCAAGCGCCTTCACGCCTATTAAGTACCTTATATCGGTCGTAAACAATCTTAAATTCACACGTAAAATCTTAATGATGTCCTAATTATGCTTTAAGGGTTACCGATTTGAGGATATAAAGTTAAAACCTATTATCGAATAGACACGATCGCTCTCAGTAAGTGTCCTTGGAATCTATAATGTACTCAATTTATCAAGTTTTGCATTTGTAGGGCTTCCTTGTAAAGTTGTAACGTAAACCGTTTTAATACCATACATCAGCCCGCTGAGTTTCTCGCCGGATCTTCTTAGCGGGTCGCGACTCCGATGCGGTAGTAGATTCATTCACGATTCGCACTTGTGCGGGTGAAACTGAAAAGTCATTCGGGCCATCAGTGATATCTGCTTTGAAAAAAAAGCATTGTCCGATGTTGGAGACACGTTAGGATTGATTTTATTTACCGGTTCAATCTTTATTTTTGATGCCAATCAATGTGTAATTTGAATAATGGTTGGCGTATAGTTACCGCGAAATGTAACAGCAAAATCCGGTACATGAAGAAAATTTCGTGCCAGGTATGAGATTTAAATCAGTATGCAAAATTTGTTTCAGCCAAGTTTAAAATATCATCAATTTCCTATTAGACCGGATCTCATGCAATATAGGTGTGTAGCAAAGTGTCAGGTTGACCTTGACGTTACGTAAGCGTATGCAAACCTTAGACACGGACCAAGGACAAGCGCTCGGCGATTTTATAATTCATAAACAAACAGTGAGAACTTCGGATGGCGTGCAGTTAAATGCCACCTTATCCGCTAAATCTATTTTAATCACGTAATATAAACAAAATTTAGTTTTTTTTAGTGCTCCTATGACATTAGCCGTAAGCAACAGTTACACTTGATCAGTTTATCTTAATTTTGTCGCAAAGTAATTATTACAAATGTCAATTAAATGCGAAAAAGTTATTCCCGTTGAGTGCTTGTTTTATAAACGTTACCATTTTAGTTCAACGACCCTGAGGAGGCTGTGTCCTTAATATTTATGTATTTCATATCTGATAAAAGAAACGGCACGTCCAAAATTGTCTTTTACCTTTTCGAAATTAAGTCTTAAGTTCAATTCATACATACAAACGCGACAGGTGATTATACTATTTACGTATTAAATCAGTTTTAAAAAGGTCAATGCAACAAAAATGGAACTGATTTCCTTGATTTTAATACAGTTAGTCACCCGCGATTTGAGATTTTGGCGTTTCAGTTACATTACTTCTGACTTTAAAGGAGTGCTATTTGGAATGAACTCTCCCCTCCATGGTGTTTACAGAGCGCTATGACATGTCCTTCTTCAAACGAGGCTTGCGGAGACTACTTAATGGTAGTCAGCAGCTTGGCTCTGCATTGCTGAAGTCCATGGGCCACGGTAACCACTTACCATCAGGTGGGTCGTATACTCGTCTGCCTACAAAGGTATTGCCTTTGTAGGCAGACGAGTATAATTATAAAAATAAAGTAAAGTAAAGAGTAAAAAATATTACCGTCAATATTTACTAAGGTGTGATTGATTCGTCAACGAATGTATGAATTACGAAAATCTACTTTATTTTCTTCAAATTACTAAAAAGAATTTTCGTCTCTGACTCGAACCACAAGACAAATCGGTTGCACGTAAGAGTAGGAAAGGCAATTATAGCCGCCTGAAGGGTGGTGGTTAACTGAAGCGTTCTTTGATGGAAATGCATTTTGGGTTCAGTTGTAATTGCATTATTAAATTGCAGAGGGTCAACTTTATTATCATTTCGTGATTGATGACGTGAAATAATATATACTAATATTATAAAGCTGAAGAGTTTGTTTGTTTGAACGCGCTAATCTCAGGAACTACTGGTCCCGATTTGAAAAATTATTTCAGTGTTAGATAGCCCATTTATCGAGAAATGCTATATAAGGCTATATAACATCACGCTAAGACCAATACAAGCGGAGCACCAATAAATAATGTTTCAAAATGGAGGTTATTTTTACCTTTTGAGAGCTTCCGCTGCGTGCGCTGCAGAAATGGTTAAAGTTTCGCTAAAATAATGTAGAACAGAATTGGTCCCGTTTAAAAGATCTAAAAAAAGTCCGCGACTGCGTATGTCTATATGTTAAGGTTGGCTCGCTATATCGTTTTTTATGCTAACCAAATTTGTTCTAAAATAAAGCATTATTTGTGAACTATTCCACGCGGACGAAGTCGCGAGCAAAAGTTAGTGATTTATATTAAGCGAAAATATTTTGTGATTCGATTTGTTGTATAGTTAATGAAATATATTACGTGAATATTATTTTCCACAAAATTAAGCGGTAGCTAGTACAGTATTAAAATGTCGACTAATAATAGCTTAATCATCCGAGACAGTGAAATAAATCTTAAATTATCACATAGAGACAATTTCTACTAATAAAAAAAGTAAACTAATAAAAGTGAGACTAAATTGAAGGATTAGTCTAATTATGTCTACGATTAGTGAAAATCGAAGCAATTACCATTACTTCTATTTAAGTATCTTCCTATCTTAAGTACCTTTTATCTTATCTTGTTTCTAACGAACCGCCCAAGGCTTCGATCCTTAAAAATCTTCTGTGTTTACCCCCTAGTCTTTAATCTTCTGCAAACAGCCGTTACTTGAATCCTTATCATCGCATTAATATTGTCAATTCTCTGGTAACAAGCTCAAAATCAAAATTCATAAATTATTTCTTACTATAATAATTGCTTTCAGTAAAGTTAAAATACACATTCACTTAGCTAGGATTTTTTATTATTATCAGGAGTTAGAAATATTTTATTGGATTGGTTTCGGGTGTTTGTTAAATAATGAAAAAATGACACATTTTTCATGACTTCACCGCAAAATTGGGGTGTGAACGTGTGGAAAGGGTAGCGAAATACTCTACTACACACACTCGCCTCCTTATTGTATACATAACAAGTTTAAAATATTAATTATTACTTCATTTTAAAACGAATACCTTTTGCTTTGAATCGCCTATCATGAAAAGCTTCGTTGTGGATGAAAAATTTACAAACTAATGAATAATACTAAAAATAATCAGTTAGATCCGCGTAAAAATGTATTTCATGAAGAAGAAAAAAAAATTGTCGTATAACAGCAGATTTTCCAACACATTTTCTGTCTGTCTGTCGTTTGAATAAATACGCAAAGTTTACATATATAAAAATCCCTTTGAGACTAGTGTTTCCTTAACGGCTTTGTGACATGCAAACAGGGCATGCACCCTTTGCCTAGACAACGCTAGACACTACAAACTTTTCCGTTCGACATTTTCTTGTTTTTGTCACGATCGTTTTACTGCTTCGTGTTTTACAAATTAATACGAAACTAGTTTGTATAGCATCGGTGTTTTGTGGTTTGCGTGTCGAATTTAGGCCACTACACATTTTATAGGAAGGGAATTAATTGATCGCCTACAACCTGTTAAGTTGTCTCGTATAAGATTCTTATACCGTCATAGTTTCTGTCTTGCAATAATATTGGTATAACTGCCGCCCTAATCTAATTAATTCTGAGACTACTTGTAGAGAAACTGAAAAACTTTTTGTAGACTTGTTTTAAAAGTCGTCGTGGCCTAAAGGATAAGTCGTCCGGTGCATTCGTATGTAGCGATGCACCGGTGTTCGAATCTCGCAGGCGGGTACCCATTTTTCTAATGAAATACGCACTTAACAAATGTTCACGATTGACTTCCACGGTGAAGGAATAACATCGTGTAATAAAAATCAAACCCGCAAAATTATAATATGCGTAATTACTGGTGGTAGGGACCACTTGTAAGTCCGCACGGGTAGGCACCACCACCCCGCCTATTTCTACCGTGAAGCAATAATGCGTTTCGGTTTGAAGGGTGTGGGGCAGCCGTTGTAACTATACTGAGACCTTAGAACTTATATCTCAAGGTGGGTGGCGCATTTACATTGTAGATGTCTATGGGCTCCAGTCACCACTTAACACCAGGTGGGCTGTGAGCTCGTCTACCCATCTAAGTAATAAATAAAAAAACTATTGACATCTTATAGAACTGAAAACTTCCTACGTATCGTTCTGTTTAGGAATCGTACTCACTGAATTTCTCGCCGGATCTTCTCAGTGGGTCGCGATTCCTATCAGATGGTAGATTCAATGAAACACTGGTTTAGCTAGGTCAGATATTAGCAAATTATTTCAAGCTGAGCCCGCGAGCTCGGTCATCAGTGTAGCCAGAATAGCCCTTCGAGGTAAATAGGTAGGCAATATAATTGAATATGCAATTTCGAAAAGGACACAAGTCGCATATTTTGTCAAATACGTTTTTTCATATACATGTAGTTTTGAGGCTTACCTACACACATTTTATAATAATTACAGCAATTGAAAATTGCTAATTAACATTAAAATATATCTCAAAAGTTAACATCTTAAATTTTACACTGCTTTAGAAAATAATCATTTTTTTTTCATTTCCTGAACATTTTACATTTTCAGAGATGTACCCTTTTCGAAATTGCATATTCAGTTGTAACTAAGAATCTGTGCTCTAACTTTCTAATCTTACCTTTGCCTTTCAGATAGATTGTATTTCGCAACACTAAAAACGGGCTACAAACCGAAACCCACGCGGAACAGCAAATACTTCCACATCGAAGATGAGATCGTTTACGAGAATTTCTACTTCGACTTCGGTCCGTACCACCTGTGCCACCTGTACCAGTTCTGTAAGAAACTCAACGAGGAGTTGGACAGGAATCCGAAGAAGAAAATAGTTTACTATACGAGCAACAATGAGAATTTAAGGTTGAACGCAGCGTATCTTATTGGCAGCTATCAGGTTTGTTCATTGTTAAGGATGATTTACGAGCGAGTTATAATTTTAAGTTGGATTTTTACTGGAGTACGCTCGGCTATAGAACTGCACAGTCAAGGTTCTATAATTCTGTGAACATTTTGATGGAAATTAATTTAAACAAACTAGATAGAATGTATAGTTTTATTCTTTACTAGCGACCCGCCCTCGCTTCGCTTCGGAAACTGTAATTTATTATTGATTTCTCCACTATTTAATGGATGTTATTATACATATAAACCTTCCTATTCAATCACTCTATCTATTAAAAAAAACCGCATCAAAATCCGTTGCGTAGTTTTAAAGATTTAAGCATACATAGGGATATAGGGACAGAGAAAGCCACTTTGTTTTATACTATGTAGTGACATGCGTAGAAGATAATGAATCGGTATAAAAGTTTCGTTTTTACCTATCTTCCGTTTCCTTTTTAATACCTACTTCGTTAACTAGATGAAGCCCACTGAGTTTCTCGCCGGATCTTCTCAGTGGATCGCGATTCCTATCCGGTAGTGGATTCTGCTAAGCGCTGCTCTTGCTAGGGCTAGTGTTAGCAAATTCTCTCAGGTTGAGCCCATGAGCTCACCTACCAGTCCGGGCGTAGCTGAAATAGCCCCCTAGACTACCAGCGAACAGGTAGGGAAAAAAATAACTAGATGTTGCTATTAATATTATTTTTCATTATACTATCCGTACACTTTTGTAGTTCATTGTACATGAGCAGACGTGGACAAGGTTCGCCTTGTGTTAACTTCGACTGTTACTATCTATGGTGGCAATAAAATAAGCAGTAACAATATCTTGATAGAACATGTATATCGCTAAACGCCTTAGAATGTTGGTTCAACATCATTCACAGTATAAGTAATTAAGAGGTCCTTTCATATAGAAATTTTACGTCACATTTACTGTAACAACGCTTGGGAAACCAGCAGGCCGGTTCTAATATTAGCTGGAGAATGTTAATTTATTATTCATTCGCACCAATACCAAAAGTGTAGGTAAAATCTATTCAAAAGCTTCGGCAGAAAAACAGCAAAGAGCAAAGTTCACTAGAGTAATCAAAAGTCCCAAGAAAGATCTCAGATAATGTTTTATTGCCGCGTTATGGTGGTTAATTCTAACCATAACTCGAATATCGGCATCTAGCTTAAGCATGAGGTTGCATTCGCGAGTGTAAGCGCTTTCAAATGGAATTACGAAAAATCACTGGGCTATGTTATGGTATTGATTATAAACCCTATCATAAAATTAAATTAAAAAAAAACATTAGTTCGCCAACCCTATATAAAAGTAATAAGTGGTCATATACAATTTAGATTAATTTATCTTGAGTTTTGCAAACATATACTGGTAAACAATTTCGCGGGGATGTGGCTATTTGTAGAAATGAGAAACGTATGTTATAATCTCTCATTGATAACTGAGTCTTTTATTTATATGTTTAATTCCTGCAGTTTTCGCCCACTATCTACGCCGGTTGCTTGTATTTTTGTTCCCTTATCTCTGTAGGTAGGTTTTTATAATTTTTATTTTGAGAAATCAAAATCACTTTAATTTTAACCGTAAATAAATTTATAAAAGCCATAGCGAAAGTGCCAGTTGTCACGGAAGACGTTTATAGATTAAAAAAAAAAACGTATGGTTAAAATCTTAAAACAATCTTAGGGGACGTGAATACCTTTTTTGTTGTGATTAAAAGATCTGCCTATATTGCTCCGTTGTTTCCGATACATATCTCATATAGCATGCCATTTCAGTTTTTGTTCGGGGACCTTATGTCAAGGCTGGACGTTTATTCGTATTATTTCAAGCGTTTATTACATTATTTAGGTCAATTAGTTTTCCTATACTCGACCTTAAATTATTAACAACATCGAAATGTAAGGTAAATTGTAAAAGCGGTATACATTTTTAATTGTTTTATTTCAGTTTAAATGGTACTTGTTCTGGATACAATGGCTTTCGTATAATTTATCTAAGGTTTTTAGTACACTCTTGAACTGCAGATTATGAATTATGTTTCATAATATGTATATTTAGTTATTTACCTATACAACAATAAAATTATTTAAAATATCAGCCGGCTTGTGTTAATATGAATACTGTATAGTTTGTTAAGTAACGCGCTATACACGAGACAACAGAGTGATACAAATCAATCAAAAGCTTAACCCTAGAAATATCATTCTGCGATTAGTCCCGTTTCATCATCATCTTTCTCCTGCCCTTCTCCCAGTCACCTGGAGTTGGCGCAATATGTTTTCTCCTTCCGTACTCTTCCATCCTCCTTCCGTACTCTTCCATCATATATCATTTCTTCGCTCACTCCCCTCTTACACATATCGTCTTTCACGCAATCCATCCATATCTTCTTAGGTCTACTTCTTCCTCTAAAGCGAATAGTCCCGTTTATCAAACTATATTTAACACACTAAAAATTCGGGAATAGTAAAATTTTCAGTTTATAGTGTAAGTACATGTAGCTATTCTATCTGCTGCCATATTCTTTTAAACGAATTCATGTATAGTTTTTATCTTGTGGACTTAACTTTTTCAAACTTTTTACTGTTGTATCAATCATTTACTGTTTAAAATTGGAAAATCATGACCATATCCGACATTTATGCCTCCAGATTTATACTTCAATATTTTCTAATAAAAGTTATCGGCTTAGTCTATCTTTAACAATGCTTAAGTATCGTCTAGGATTTTTAGACCAGACAATCATAAAACGAGGCTTATTATTACCTATTAAATTATGATTATCTTTTAACCGATTTCAAATCCAAATGAGTTCTTAATTTCGAGCGTATCTTTTTGATAACACTGAAAACTCTTCAGACGTATTGAACAGGACTTAGGTCTTCTCCAATATGTTTTGATGAAATTGGCCATATATATCTTCTATCTATATATATGTCGTGGATAACGACTTTTAGTTGTCGTGGACAACGACTTTCAGTAAAAGACGGTGGTTTTGATTATTATTTTAAATGATGAGATGTTGTTTTGATAAATATCACAAAATGAAGGGTAGACTACGTAACGCCACAGTATAAAATGGCGGTACGTGGACAGAGTCGTGGCATTCCGTGTCAGACAGTCATTCCGTCCGTTTAAGCAGTGAGTCTCTGACAGTCAGTCAGTCAGTCAGTCAGTCGGTCTGTCGGTATGTGCAACGAAACTGTCGGTTTATCCTGTCATTGTGAAAGTTGTGTGTGTTGAGTTTCAATAATTATTATTGAAAAGTTTTATTGACTAAACTAAGTTCAATCGAATACGAGTGATGACGAAACTACCGCTCAGCCATCCCTGACGTGTGCCGACATATATATAAAAATGAATTGCTGTTCGTTAGTCTCGCTAAAACTCGAGAACGGCTGGACCGATTTAGCTTTGGTCTTGAATTATTTGTGGAAGTCCAGAGAAGGTTTAAAAGGTAGATAAATATGAAAATGCTCGGAATTAAATAAAAACCCGTCGAACAGATTCCTTTTATTTGTTTTAAGTTTATTTTACACAAAAGTTTAGGTCTTATTTATCGATTGAGGCACTACGAGGTCTGCCGGGTCAGCTAGTTAATAATAATCATCATCTAGAATATCGTTCGAAGAAACCAAAACCATGTTTCTGCAGTGGAACGGTTCGACCAATAAACCAACCGAAGCGTGTAGCATTAATATAAATATTCTCAGCAGGTGACCGGTTTGTTAGTTGTTGAAATGCGATCCGCTACCGCTAATTGGGGATAGAGGACGTCTCCCACGCGTTTCATTATTCAATAACACCCTACGCTTGCCTACGTTTCGCGAGAATATTGTCGCGAAACCGTATGATGACCTTGGAATTTATTTTGTCGTACTCGACAGGATTGTTTCCTAATTGTATTCGTTAAGTTCATTATCTTCTGATTGATGCATAAGTTACTAGTTTTCATTGGATAAGTCTGACATGTAATCCACATATTCCTTATTAAATCGTGATCAGTTAGTTGGTCATGGGTGCATTAGTATTAACCCTTTGAGCGCGAACCGTCGATAGATCGACTCTCTATTAATGCGTATAAAGTATGGAGTGTCAGAATACCAACTATTTGCGCAGTTTGAATATAGGCAGCGGCTTGGCTCTGCCCCTGGCATTGCTGAAGTCCATGGGCGACGGTAACCACTCACCATCAGGTGGGCCGTATGCTCGTCTGCCTACAAGGGCAACAAAAAAAAAAAAATTATATTATGTAGGTAGTAGATTTCGACCTGTACGGATGTGAATTAGCGCGCGCATTTATAAAGTTTTAACATTTACATACATATAAAACAACCATTTAAAATTATTTTGTTGTAAATTTTGCATTGGTTTTTGTATATTTTGTTAAGGTTTATATTAGGTACATTTTTTTATTATAATAAGCTCAGCATTAAAGGGGCTCAGTAAAACTGCTACTATCGGTGTCGTGCACATACATCCATGAGTCGTCCGTGGTCAGGAAAACTTAGAAATATTAAAAAAGTCGGAAATAATACAATGCAAATTAATCAACGCGAGATTTATCCGTAAAAGTTTGTTTTAATTATGGCAACGATTCGACAAACCGACGAAAATACTACATATTAGTGTAGTTCTATAGCATCTTGCCCCAGCTAACACGGACGGATATTATTCTGATAGTTCGATACAGTTATTATAAATGTTTTTATTTCAAGTTATTGATTTCTAAACTTTAAATATTATAGCTTAAATGCCTAAATGCCTTTTAATTACCTAACCCCTAAGGGGTAAAATTTTAAGAAATGATATATGTATGTGTACATTATTTCTTTACCAACAATTATAAAATAAATCGTGTTTCTTTGAAAATGACGCATTTCTATACTGTTATTATTATTCTTATATTATATCCTTTAAAGAAATTTCGAAAAATCCCTCTTTGATGACGCTTACACTCTAAATATAATCCAAAATATAAAATCGCTTTAGTTTTTCCTGATCGCAAATACATTTTTAGTAGCCCGCTTATCAAATCGGTATCAAAACAAAAACATAGATAATATATATTAAACGGCAATTAGAGATATGAATTAGCACGGTCTTTACTGCAAGTTGGGTTTGTTGCGATCCTGTGTTACGAACACAATACTGTTAATACAACAACAGTGACCTGTCATCATGGCTGTTCGTTTACCTCTTTTGGAATTGAAATGATAGATGTCCTTCAAACGGGAACACACAATTGCTTCTCGACATAAATCTCTTAATACGTTGACTGCCACATAGGTAACCGGTGCCCTACGCGGCGCACTGAAGTCATTATGACGATTTATATCTTCGATCTACATACTAAGGCGCTGGAATATCAGTAGACTCTGGGAATGACCAATCCGCAGATATTCAGTCTATTTTTTAAAAGACCTAAAAGTCTAAAACATACATTAACAAATAAAAGAAGGCAAAATTAGGTAATCCAGGCGCTTAATAACAGAAATCGACGTAATTACTTCAGTGCGCCTCGTGGGGCACCGGTGACCTACACGGCAATCAAAGGGTTAAACAATATCCGAAATATAGTTGTCGATTTGTCTCCACGGCCTCCACGGATTTGAGGCCACAGTGCTCATCGGTGAGCTTAAACTTACAGAAAGGTTCTGGGTATGAAGGTCGCCCGTGAGCCGCGTGAGGATTCCAACGTAAACGTTTCCTACAAGCCACGATTGCAGCTATCAAACAAAACGCGCATGGAAGTCAGCCACGTGGCCCTTTAGCCGAATCGAACGGCATGGTTTTCAAATCCATTAGAAACTTGTAGTTTTTATTAAGGCCTTTTAAAATATCTTAAAAACTAGACGATTAAAGTCGATAATTTTTATTTTTCGTGTAAATTATCGCATTTTATAAATTTTAGAATGAAAATCTCAAGTTGATAAAAATTACTGATTCCCTGATTTTAGCTTGGCCCGAATAGTATACTCGTAGTACGCTAGGCCCACCGGTGGGTCACAAAGCGTTCAACGTGTTAAACGAAATACCTTTTCACGTCTCGATACTATATCCATTGAAATTGTTACACAGAAACTTTTTTTTTTTCTACCTAAGTTGATAGCTTTGAGAGGCTATTTCAGCGTAACCTTAACTAGTAGGTGAGCTTACGAGGCTCAAACCTGACGACGTTGCTAACACGAACCCTAGCAAGAGCCGTACTTCGCAGAATCTACCACCAGAACGTGACCCACTAAGAAGATCCGGCGAGAAACTCAGTGGGCTGTGTCTATGGGTTAATTCGCTCGTTGAGCCCTTCGTCGCAAGCGACGGGTTCGACGAGAACGATGACCGGTGCTTGAGGTACCTAGAAGCACCGTTAGTGGATCGGTAGACCATGAAACTTCAATGTTTCAGGTAATATATCTAAAGTCAAGTCCGGCAGCTGTGTACAAGCAGCTGACCGACGGCTCGGAGTGGTCGCTGTTGAATTTCCGGGACGCGTCCGGAGGCCCGCCGCTGTTCGATATATCGCTGCTGGACGTCCTACAGGGCATCAAGGTGGCGCACGAAGCCGGCTTCTTCGACTTCGAGCACTTCGATGCCGAACAGTATTTGTTTTACGAGGTAATTTTGTTTAAGTTTATCAAATTTTTACATAACAACGCATCATGCAATTTTACTGGTGGTAGGACCTCTTGTGAGTCCGCGCGGGTGGGTACTACCACCCTGCCTATTTCTGCCGTGAAGCAGTAATGCGTTACGGTTGGAAGGGTGAGGCAGCCGTTGTAACTATGCTGAGACCTTAGAACTCATATCTCAAGGTGGGTGGCGCATTTACGTTGTAGATGTCTATGGGCTCCAGTAACTACTTAACACCAGGTGGGCTGTGAGCTCGTCCACCCTTCTCATCAATAAATAAAAAAATTGCCCTTCTCCCAGTCACTTGGAGTCGGCGCAACATGTTTTCTCCTTTCATACTCCTCTATCATATACCATTTCTTCGCTCACTTCCCTCTTACACATATCGTCTTTCACGCAATCCAACCGTTCTGCTTAGGTCTACCTTTCCCGCTATATACTTCCACATTCATAGTTAAAACTCTTACCAATTTTCATTTCATAACAATGCATTTACATAACAATGCATATCACTAGGTTATGTATGGAAATGGTAGTGCAAGTTAGAGGGGGAAGAGGTCGACCGAAGAAGACATGGATGGAATGTGTGAATGACGATATAAGAGAGAGAGAGAGAGGAGTGAGTGTTAAGATGACGGCTGATAGAAGAAAATGAATGAATGAGAACCACGCTATGTATCGTACTTTCAGTTATTGATATTTCGCATTATCCACAAGAATCACAAAAAAAAATCCGTAACCTTACTTATTCCTTTTTTTTATTGCCTATGTGTGGACGAGCTCACAGCCCGTCGGGTGCTAAGTGGTTACTGGAGCCCATAGACACCTACAACGTAAATGCGCCATACACCTTGAGATAAGGTCTCAGTATAGTTACAACGGCTGCCCCACCCTTCAAAACGAAACGCATTACTGCTTCACGGCAGATTATATTAACTTACTTGATTGACAACTTATTTGATGAACCTAATAGATTATTATTATTATTAATTTCAGAAAGTTGAGAACGGCGATCTCAACTGGATCGTTCCGGGTAAGATGTTGGCGTTCTCCGGGCCGCACCACCGGTCGCGTCTTGACCGCGGCTACCCCCTGCACAGTCCCGAACATTATCACGACTACTTCCGTACTCATAATGTGAGTTTTTTTTTTCTATCTATTCTAGTACCCTCTAGGGGTTATTCGAGATTCAGCGAACTAGTATGTGAGCTCACGGGGCTCAAAGTGATGTAATATAGTATTATAATAATACAGTCATCTATACTTCTATACTAATATATAAATCTACAGTGGTTTTTACGGATGTTCCGTTATAACTACTGAACCGTGCATCCGATTGACTTGAATCTTGGTATCCATGTAGAAAATACATGTACTTAATGGATAGGCTAATATTTATATGAGTGTTGGACTCCCTACCGCCAGTTGCGGGGGCGTTAATGATGAGAATCTTTGTGGGGGTGAGAAATAATAATGTTAATTTTAAATGCCCAGCGAAGCGGACGGGTACAGCTAGTACAATATAAATCGCAAACGTCATAGCGTTTATTAAATTCACCAAAGAAGCCTTAGAAGTTTATACTAAATTTAGATAAAAAAAAATTTGCTTAGATGGGACGAGCTCACTTTCTACCCGGTGTTAAGTGGATACTGGAGCCTATAGACATCTACGACATACATGCGCCATTCACCTTGAGATATAAGTTCTAAGGTCTCAAGTATAGTTACAACGGCTGCCCCACCCTTCAAACCGAAACGCATTACTGCTTCACGGCAGAAATAGGCAGGGTGGTGGTACCTACCCGCGCGGACTCACAAGAGGTCCTACCACCAGTCAAGAAGTGCAACCTCTTTGACAAGACGTTTCTTTGACTATTTCTTTTCGAATTCTTGTCAAGTCTCTGTCTTAGTATGTGTCTATGTCTAGTCATTGTAGGTCTTATGTCCTGTCAAAGAGGATGCACGCCACGACAATTCCTTTTTTTTAAAACCTAATCGGGAGACCCCGCGTAACAGTGCGAAAGGTATAGATTGAGGGGATATGGCGGTATCACTGCAGGTGTGCGTGTGTTCCAGGTGACCACGATCGTCCGTCTGAACAAGAAGTCGTACGACGCCCGCCAGTTCACGTCCCACGGCTTCGAGCACAGGGAGTTGTTCTTCGTCGACGGCTCGGTGCCCTCGGACCTCATCGTGAACCGCTTCATTCGTATCGCGGAGGCAGCTAAGGGCGCGGTCGCGGTGCACTGTAAAGGTTTGTTTACATTCAGAATATCATTGGTTGTTCAGTTTCAACTAGTTATATATTATGGCTTGAACAGATGTCTCTCATTTCCCTGGTCAGCGTTCTCGAGTAAATTAACCCACAGACACAGCCCACTGAGTTTCTCGCCGGATCTTCTCAGTGGGTCGCGTTTCCGATCCGGTGGTAGATTCTGCGAAGCTCTGCTCTTGCTAGGGTTCGTGTTAGCAACGTCGTAAGGTTTGAGCCCCGTGAGCTCACCCACTAGTTAAGGTTACGCTGAAATACCCTCTCAAGGCTATCAGCTTAGGTAGGGAAAAAAATTTCTCATTTTGTTTGTCGCATAAACATCACCCTGCGAACACACTTCACGCCGTGCATAAGTACCTACTGGGTGTTAGGAGACCGCTTCCGAAAACGAAGTCAGACGATAGTACTAATGACACCTTTGATGATGGGATGGAAAAAAAATCGATACCGATTTTAAAAAAAATCATATTTTTAAAAACCGCGCCCGGGCGTACATTGATCCGAGCATCAGCTGTTTTTGATTTTGTGTTTCATTGCTGGTTTTTTTAAATAATAAATTAATGTATTTTTTATGAAACTATTGTTTCATTTAGGTGTATTGACACGATGGAGCGTAAATAATACTAATAAACCGTTTTAAAAATATGACTTTTTTTAAATCAGGATCGATTTTTTTCCGTTTCATCATCAATGGTGTCATTAGTAATATCGACTGTCTTCGTTTTCGGAAGCGGTCTCCTAACACCCACTATATAGGGTGTAACAAAAACGTTATTTATTGCCGTTGCTTAGCAACCCTGCTTATTGTTACTTTAACCCATAGACACAGCCCACTGAGTTTCTCGCCGGATCATCTCAGTGGGTCACGTTTCCGATCCGGTGGTAGATAGTGCGAAGCACGGCTCTTGCTAGGGTTTGAGCCCCGTGAGCTCACCTACTAGTTAAGTCTGAATTAGCTTCAGGCTATCAGCTTACGTAGGAAAAAAAATTGTTACATTAATGATTTAGAATGTAAATTCTCGCATCCACCTTGAGACATGAGGTCTTTAACTCGATTTTATTTTAATACGGCTGTCACATGTTTGACGAAATCCCGGTATATTGATGTGCGCTGTGTCAGCAGCGGGGCTGGGCCGCACGGGCACGCTCATCGCCTGCTACATGATGCGGCAGCACGGCTTCACGGCGCGCGAGGCCATCGCGTGGCTGCGCGTGTGCCGCCCGGGCTCCGTCATCGGACACCAGCAGTGGTTCCTCGAGAAGTAACCCTTCAACTATTTATATTAAAAAAAACGTAACGTTACAGTCGACCCCTTGCATTATAATTGGTACAAGCTTCAGTAGTATCGCGCTCGATTTGACGGAATTTGGGGGAGGAACATAATGAATTATTGGAAGCCATATTCAAAGAACCAATTTAAATTAGCAAACAAATTTACACCTTAAATTGGCAAAATTTTTAGTAGCCACAAAGAAAACTAAAATTTCTCTAAAATGTTTCGATAAATAAGTGAACGATATTAGTAGTTTATAGACGCATCGCGCATACTTAAAAAACTGTTAGATGACATCCAGAGAAATGTAAAAAAAAAAATTGTCACTTAAGGGGACTACTAAATCTAAAAACAGTTTTTTTCACTTCTTCGTCTATCAATAAATCCCTACTAATATATAAATATGTGAATGTAAGTTTGTTTGTTACGCTTTCACGCGAAAACTACTCAACCGATCATCATGAAACTTTGTACACATATTCTTGGAGGTATTAGAAGTAACATAAGAACTTTTTATTAAGAAAAAAAATTTTTTTTTCACGAACAATTAAAAAATATTTTGTCAAGAAATCTCAAAATCTAGCTTCTTCAACGCCATCTACCGGTTTAGTAATGAAATTCCAATCCTGAGTACTGTAAATGAAGTCGCGGGTAAAATTTAGCGTTATGCCAAAGTAACTATTCCACGCGGACGAAGTCGCCGGCAAAAGCTAGTCTGGTATAAAATAATATTCAGATAGATTCATTTCGAAATTTATAAATTAATCACGTGTCGAAAACTAAATTCGTTTAATTGAAGAATTTCTAGAACTATTCAGAATGTCAGTTAATTTGAACTTGTTTTATTTTTTCTTCGTCCAGTATCCAGTCGCGGATGCACGCAGAAGGGGAGGCTTACCGTCGGCGGCACAACGTCACGGCGCTGCCCGTCTACACCCGGGGGATATACAGCGACCTGCCCCGCGACCAGACTGTGCTCGACAACCACAAACCCGTATCCCTCAACAGCATACTGCAGAACAACCGGGACGCTAACAAGGTCGGTATTGGTGGTGACGCACTGCACTGCCGCTCACAGAAGTCGTGGCCTAAAGGATAAGACGTCCGGTGCATTCGTGTTGAGCGATGCACCGATTGTTCGAATCCCAGGCGGGTACCAATTTTTCTAATGAAATACGTACTTCTATTGACTTCCACAGTGAAGGAATAACATCGTGTAATAAAAATCAAACCTGCAAAATTATAATTTGCGTAATTACTGGTGTGAGGACCTCTTGTGAGTCCGCACGGGTAGGTACCACCGCCCTGCCTATTTCTGCCGTGAAGCAGTAATGCGTTTCGGTTTAAAGGGTGCGACCGCTCCAACGTTGGGACCAATGCTATTTTCTAGTTCCACACGTTGGGGGAGTGGCGTTGGGGCCTATGTTGGGGCCAGTGTGAGACATTAAGTGTACCGAGCGTCGGGACTACACAGGCCAATCTTACTGTAGCACTAATTACCGTTCTAATGAAATATGTACCTTATGAGCTTGATCAAATGAACGTGTATTAAAAATCACACGTACATTCAAAATTTATGTAGTGACTTGTGGTATTGCATTGTAAGCAAGTGTAGGATACTATTATTCTGCTTATTTCTACCACGAAGAAGTCACGCGCTTATGAACTTTTTTGAAAATTCCCACGCAATTATTAAAAGAGCGACTCTTGGATACAAACATAAATAAACTCGCCGCCGTATCACGTAACATCCTCTGGCGAGGTTTCCTCACGCCTATCCTTCTTCATACGAGGCCTTAGGAGTTCATTTCACGCCTGACTCGTTTGTCTTCTGATCGACCAAGACTTTTATAAATAACGAAATGATCAAAGGAACCGATCGCTTCACCAACAGTCATTGCAATAAATAGTTCAAACAAAATTCGATCAACTACAAGGCTACTAGATGTACTAGAATAGACTAACGAATGATCGCCCTTTCCGCAGCTGGACAACGGTAACATCATAAACACAACGGAAACCGATTCTGAGAACAACGTGACCACGGTCATCGGCAAATACAAGACCACACCGACGCCGATGTTGCCAGCGAAGAGCGTCTTCGCGCCCAAACTCAACTACATGCTGCCGACGAACAACGTCCGCAACGCCAACAACACGAACTTGAAGCAGCCGACCAGGATGACCACGAACTTGAAGAGTTACGTGTCGAAGACGTCCACGTTCCCGCCGACCAGGAGCTCCAACCCGCAGGTCAAGCTCGCGTCTACTGCCAAGCCGTTCGCGAGCAAGAACAGCTTCCACGGGCAGCGGGCCAACCTAGCGCGACCCGTCATGGCATACGGACACGCCAGCAGCCCGCTCAAAACGTTCACCAGAAAAACGGGGAGCGTCGGCAAAATCACGGGCGACGCGACGTCGGGCAACACCGTCAGCAACGTGAACTCGACCCTATCCGCCTTGACGGAGAACTGCCATTTGAATGGCCAAAAACGTTTACCATCCGAGCCTAATCTGAAAAACGTCTCGCAAAATAAATCCATAACTAATAACATACCGAGGAAGAAGTTGATTATCCGCTCCAACTCTAGTTCAAGGAAGAAACTGCCCAAGGGCAATAATCTGAAAGGCTTGGAGCCAGCGCACGATTTGTCGTCCAGTGATACCAGCGTCACGAACATAGCGGCGGGTCCGCTCGATACGCCGTTCAGGTTTCGACGGAAAAGGGACAAGTCCAACAGCCCCGAGCCGATGGACTGTCTCTCCAACTCCATTATAACTGCTGACGTCACGTCCGACAACGTCGAGGAGTCCAGCGACTCCCAAGGGAATAAGCTCTACAAGATAAAAGCGCTCCGGAAGAAATGCCCGGCTTTCGGAGTGAGCTTACTCAAGAAAGACGGCATACAGACCAGGTCGAGCAGTTGTGCCAGTACTGCGGTTAAGAAAAAATGATTGAAGTGAATTCGTCATTAGGTAAGTTGTTCGCACTGTACACACAGATTTATAATGTGCATAGCGCATCTAATATATTCGCGTTGTAACAGAAGTCATATCAATGTAAAAAGACATGTCCGAGCAAATTTGAGACTAATTCTTATAGAAAGAGTGTTAAACGCTGTTATTCGTGAATCCCACTTGGAAACGACCTCAAATGTAAGTAATCTCATTAGTGTAATGTATTGAGGTGTGCTGCGATTTTTAGAGTATTATACTGTAGCCTAGATCTTATCAACAACGAGCGATTTGTTATTAAATTTGAGTTTATTTATTCAACAAAATAATATACTTTTTTTGTATATTTAATATGATTTCGTGTAATATAAACATGTTGGAAATAGTAGTACATGTATGTATACATCCATCCTAAAAGATTGCAGCATCCTCGACACGTAAGTCCAAAGTGTATGAATGTATACTGAATGGTACTAAATGTTTTTGTTAAATTTTCTTCCGTATTCTGTCCCAAATGGTCCTATACTTTTCCTAATGTAGAATATCAGTGGTGCATAAATATAAATTAACACTACTTTTGTTAAAATATGTAGTATAATAGTTGAGAATTTTTAAAACTGTGAAGTTGTTTTTCTTTTATCATTTGTAGTATGACGTCACTATATAATTGCGTGCAACGGACGGAGTTGAGCTATATTGTGACGTCATAGTAGTCGGCGCACTAAAACTATATTGTTATAAATCACAGTTTGTTGATATCCTTCATTGAAATGTTAATTTATTGACACTGACATTGTCGGAAATTTTTGCATAAATGAGTCTGAATTCAACATGACTTTGTAATCAATAAAATATCCTTTTTTAATAGAATACGTATCCAGAACGACATGACATACGTTGTTCTGAAGAATAAAGTCGGATCAACCTTTATTTGAAATCTTTTGCTTGATATTCTAAACGGTATACTGTCAATTTAGATTAATTATTGAAAGAAAACTCACGCGAAATAATAATAAATTATACAAACCAAATAAGCATGTAATTTTTAAAATGTCTTAAAAATTCCTTTTCCAATTGAATATTTACTTTTAAGGCTCATTAAATACTAACTATAATAATATAAGAGAATCAAAAAATATATTTAGTAAGTGTTAAATTTTAGAACAACACAAATAACAAATTTAAATTTAATACTTACTAAGTATTTTATCTAATTCACATGAAACCACGATCAAACATTTCCGCTGTAAATTATTAAAAATAAATTAAAATTAAATGTAGAAGTTAATTCCTAAAATTGAACGAGTTACTAAACGATTATCGGGTTTAAGAATAATAATAATAATTATATATTTTTGTAGAACTTAATTGTAAGTGATAAAAATCGATTGCCATTTTGTTTTATTTTTATTAAGGAATGTTTTATCTGTTGATATTCTGTTGTAACATAGATTATAAATTGGTTAATCTAATTTTTAGATGTTAATTATTTACTTTGCAATACCCGTATACATAATTAGATGCTTTATTTTTCATAACAAGTGTAATAGTTTTTTGAACTAAAATAGTGCAATGAACTTTATGTAAAAAAATTATAATATATTAAGTTTTCTTAAAATCATTTATGTCACAAATGCAATAACACCACTATTGTGGGGACTTGAAAACTGTTCTTTTTATATATTAAATATTTACAAACTATAAATGCCAGTTGTAGTATATTGTACTGTCTATATTTATATACCTTGTGATGTTGATTGGCTTGTCACGCTTCAAGCCATATACATAGTGTTGCTTTATTTACATTCATTTTTGCGTTGTGTTTAAATGTTATCAAATAGGTAGTACTACATATTTATAATGTTCTTTAAATTTGATAGAGCAAATATACTTCTATTGTTAAAATACGCAATTTTTATTTGTAGAATACTTCTCGCGGAAGACTATGTAAGGTCTATGGTCGGTGATTCTTAATGAAAAATATTGAACAAATATTATCTTATGTTTCTTTCTAAGATCTACAAGTTTTCTATGTTTTATACCTTAAATGCGTCTAAATGCTATACTAATAGTTACTTTATTTTCTATTGATTTTTAAAATATGTATTTACATAGATAAGTAAAATTGATATCAACTTTTGTAAATAATATATAAATATACATTTCGCTATCCTGCTCTAGCTTGACTTGTATTCTTAAAGCGTGAGTGGGACAGTTTGAATTATGACTAGACTTAAGTTATCGGTTTTATTACGTGCAATGTAGAAGGAGACTATCGGACTACTGTAATGGAAAAATAATTTTAAATTGTGAAAAAAGCTTTAGAAAATCATACGTGTTGTTTATGGAAACTGTTTACATTTTTTCTGCTATGCTCTCATTTAAAAGCGAGTACTCATTGGTTCAGTGTTAGATTTTAATAATGTAATAATTAATGCATATTAGCGATGCCCTGCGATGTATTTTGTCTGAATGTTTGTCTAAATGAAGTTTCTGAAGTCTTTATTTTCCTAAATTTGTTTATTAAATGCAATTTATTGATTTGTACAGAATTCACAGCTACGATAAAAAAATTATCGCGGTTAAAGTGTCCTCGTCGGTTTCCGGTCATACTCGGAAATAGTGTTTTTTTTTTAAAGGTTGGATTACTAGTGCCCTAGAGGCCTTTCCAGTTTCACCAGGACAGGTGGGCGAGCAAAGCAGTGGGACTTGCTAACAGCTGCCCGAGCGCCTCTAAACGTTACCTAACAACTCAAGAGCAGCTGCTTCGCGAATGAATCTACTACCGGATCGAAATCGCGACTCGGCGAGAAACTCGGATACATGAGTTAGGTCTATACGTCTACTGCTTCACGAAACTTTTATATACGTTTAAATGAGTTTAAGGCGAAAAATACTTGACTACCCCATTTGCTTTGAACATTAATTACAAAATTCCTAGTTAGTACTGCACTTAGTGTGTTTTAATCAACTTAGTTACTTGCCGATTATTGGGTCGCGATTTAGAAGCGGTGGTAGATTCAGCTATGCACTGTTCTTGTTGTTACTAGCGTTAGCATGTTCTCTCGGACTGAGCCCCGTGAGCTCACCTACCAAACCCGTGCAACTGTCATTGCCCATCAAGGGAGCCGGTGATCAGGTAGTTGAAAAAATGTGTTCAACCATTCCGCCTGGTGGCCGCCACTATACCTGATCATGGTTTTTTTATTGCTTTATAGGTAGACGAACACACAGCCCACCTGTTGTTAAAGTTTAGAGCCCACAGACATCAACAACGTAAATGTCGCCACCCGACTTGAGACATGAGTTGCAAGTCTCGGTTTTATAGTACAACGGCTGCCCTTCAAACCGTAACGCAATACTGCTCCACGGCAGAAGTAGGTAGGGTGGTGGTACCTACTCGTGTAGACTCAACACGACAATCCACCACCACCACCACCACCACCAGATCATACTTTGATGTTCACTAATTGGCAAAATGTTTGAATTTTAATCTATAAATAAAATTGGAGTGTCTGTTTGTAATATTGAAATAGCCTCTTTTTACTACATGCATATGAATATATATACGGTACATACACCAAAATAACATTTTTTACAATTTTTGTCTCTCTGTCTGTCTGTGTTTGTTCCGGCTAATCTCTAGAACGGCTGGACTGATTTTTACGAGGCTTTCACTGATAGGTAGCTGATGATATAAAGAGTAACTTAGGCTACTTTTTTAGACTAGCATCGCCCCGCGGCGTCACCCGCTGCACGAAAATAACTGCAGGTAGCATCGCGGGACTCAGCTATCAATAATAAAATTAAATGCTTCCGAAGCGAAGCGAGGGCGGGTCGCTAGTTTAAATAAAAATGCAGTAGTGTCAAGTTTTTCTTTTAGTACACGAATCTTATACGAAAAATCTCAATATATATTTATTTTTAAATCGTCACGAAAAAAAAACTTCGAATGAATCTAATTATCCCATCTGTTAAGTTTTACCATGAATATGTTATTTGTTGAAACCTAAATAACTCGGCCGACTTGGTTGATTGAATGATTCCTAATTTGAAGAATGATTCTAGCGGCTTCCACGTTTGTAACTCTTTACAAATTCTCCAATGACTGTAAAAACATAACTATTTAATTTTGTATTATTATTCAACTATATAATATATGAAATTAAATTGACTGCTTTTTTAACTATTTATACTGATTAACTTAAAATTGTTGTTTGGATATTTTTTTATCTATTAATACTACAATTGAAATAGTCTTCACACTCATTTAGTTTTGTTATGCTCCTTCCCAGTCCGATAATAAATCGAACTTATTCTTATCAAGCACATCGAGGGGTGAAAGACTATCTTACCTTATACCTTTAAACGAGCAATTCTTGTATTTTAATATATATATATATATATATGTATATATATAATCTGAATCTCTGAAACGGCTCCAACGATTTTCATAAAATTTAGTATACAGGGGATTTCGGGGGCGATAAATCGATCTAGCTACGATTTATTTTCAGAAAATGTTGTTTTATTCGTGTTTTCAAAAACAAACTTTATTGATAATCAACTTTATGACTCTTCCAGACATCTATTGGCGAATAATAATACTATTTTGATTGCTTTAAAGACACAACAAGATGGCGTTATAAAAAAAAAGCCGACCAAGGCTCGGTCATCATCTAGTTTGGTTTAAGCGACATTTCGTTTAATACGCTACATTTATCTTTGTAATTAAAGGTCCGTTTTATTTGGTATTAGCATCGACGATTCGACATTTTTAATTGAACTCCAATTGAATATGCAATTTCGAAAAGGGCACATGTCGCATATTTTGTCAAATACGTTTTTTCATATACATGTAGTTTTGAGGCTTACCTACACCAATTTTATAATAATTCCACTAATTTTTAATTGTTAATTAACACTAAAATATATTTCAAAAGTAAATATTTTAAATATTACACTGTTTTAGAAAATAATCAGTTTTTTTCATTTCCTGAAAATTTTACATTTGAAAGATGTGCCCTTTTCGAAATTGCATATTCAATTAAGTTTACCCCATTCAAATAGCTGAAGAAGTTATTTTGTTATTATTTTTTTCCAATTTTAAACTTTATATGGCTCTCCTGTAAAGTTGCAAAAGTTTTGCTTAAACCAAATAGCCTAGTTAACTTAGTTTTTGGTCCAAGCTTACAAACTGTCACTTATTTTAATGAGCTCTGAGACACTATGTTCAATTTACTTGAATACTTTAAAGTATTGTCGACGTGTAAAATATAGTATAAGATTCTTGCTATGAATTTTTCCGTGAAATTCTATAGTAATGAGAGATATATTGATATGTTAATTATTTTCGTTAATACATTTTTTTTTATCTATTATGCAATTTAAAAATGTGGGATGTTCAATAGAAGGCGTCATTCAATTTATTATGGGGGCCCTGGTGACCACTTAGTGACCCTGAGATTCACTCATCTAGTCCAATAAAAACCGAAAGGCGTGTTTAACCATTTTTTTTTATCAGAAATAAGTCCAAGAAGGGTACACATTGTGGTTCATGACGTCACTTCTGTTAAAATAGGGCGTGAGAGAGATAACAATATGTTGTACCCATGCATCCACTATTCCTTAATACCATTGTTAAATATTAGTTGATTCATTTTACAACTAAATTAATGGTATTTAAAAAAATATATTTTTCAAATGATTTTGTGCATTATTGTTAGGAGAATGCTAGCCCACATCCGGCTTATTTCTACCGCGAAATACTCGTGAGCTCTGGAATCAATATTGGGTCAGTCGCGCACTGACTTTCTCGCCGGATCTTCTCAGTGGGTCACGTTTCCGATCCGGTGGTAGATTTTGCGAAGCACTGCTCTTGCTAGGGCCAGTGTAAGCAACACTCCGGCTTGAGCCCCGTGAGCTCACCTACACGTCAAGGGGAAGCTGAAATAGCCTCTCAAGGCTATCAGCATAGGTAGGAAAGAAAAAAAAGGTCAGTCAATAAACAATACACTAGAGACCTCAACTCTTGTCTTAATGTGAGTGGCGCCAGTCACATTGTGTACGTCTGAGGCTATGATAACCCACTTCAAAGCAGCTAGACCGAGAACTCCACGGCCCAGTTTGAAGTAGCAGTAGGTATTTGCTGTTGATTTAATACTCCACAAAGAAGATTAATTCACCCTGGCATATATTTAAAAAAAATGTAAATATTTTAAAGTACATTAAAGATGAATTTACTTTCTTTTTCTGCAGCCACTTCGTTAAAAAGGATTCCATTTATTCGAATTTAGGTCTTGTGTACATTGGTAGTAGGTTTTCCAGCTGTAGTGATATTGATTATAATTGTAATGTATTTATTAATATTTCGTTGTGTGTTAAGGTATAGTCTGTTCTGGCATTAGTGGTGTCACGAATCACTATGTCCAGTTATTCAGTACTTTCAAGACCCACATATTTATTTGACTACTAATTTCTGATTTTCTTTCAAGACTGTTAATTCTTGATTTCATAAAATGTATAAAACACATTCATAAACACTTTGATTTCCAAGTTCAGTTATGAATTATTCACTTGCTTTTGAAATGGAATATGGACCGTTTATTTTGAAAGTGGTGTAAGTCCATTTTCTTTTGTTTCGAGAAAATTAAAGGTTACTATATTTGTTGATTTAAAAATACAGGCAAATCATATGAAGTCTGGCTATGCCACCTACCTCTGTCAATTGGACTTACACCACTTTCATGATCGATGATTATGCAATTTCATTTACCGACCGATTTTAAGTTGTACAAAACATGGGATTTTTTTGAGAAATTAAACACGGACTAGTTATATATAAAAATTTACATTAAATTAAGCATGAATTACGTGATAGCTCATTTTTCTCAAAAATGGACTTACTTCAATTTCAAAATAAACGGTCCAATATAGTTTTAATGACTGAAATCACCATCTATTTATACATTGTGTTGTGTTGGAATGTTGAGATTATAGTTATGGTAGTGAGGGCGTAGGGACCAGTGTTGTAATCATTGAAATATTGGCAATTGTTTTCATATTTCACATATATGTATACAGGGATGATTTGTATAACTGAAAACTAATGCTATAATATGATTTCTATAGTGAGAATTTAAAGATAAGAAAATATTATATGCTTCATAAAAATATTTTTATCTACTGCCTAAAAAAACATTTTGTTTTTGTGAAGTTGAGACAGAATTCAGTACATTACTGGAAACCGTATGTTAACTTTGTATTAAATAAAATATTATTATGTATGTTGTTTAATTAATATTTTAAATGATAAACTAATGCACTATTGTTAAAATGTATCAAGTGTGTTAAAGGAGGCATCGGCCTTCGGTGTTTACGCTTGTGCTTAATTAAAATAAAAACAATACAATTTGATTTTACGTAGTTTTATTTACAATCGGAAGTAGTTGTCTAGGCGGAAACATCATTTTGAAGACAATTACAAACAATTACCAGCCTATTAATTTGTCAAAACTAGAATGTTTTTGATGTGGTGTGGCAAGCATTGGACAGGGTCAATTTTTTTATTGGTTAATACAC